AAACCAAGTCTTTTTTCACCACACTCTTTTGATTTATCTTTCTGATGATCAACAAAGTAAAGATAGAGACTCTTCACACTTGATGCCATTGTAATTATAAGCTATCGGTATATCGGTATTAAAGTCACAGGAGGAGCTGTCATTAAGCTTTACCTTCCAATGAAATGACGCTTTGCTGCTTTCTTGGCTTGTTGCTTTCTCTTGGCTGGTTTTTCAACTGGTTTGGGTATTTCTTTTGGTGATAAATTTTCTTCATCGGATTCTTCAACTATGACAAGTTGTAAAATTAAATAATATTCATAATCAAGTTAGTGCTTAACTCCTTATTGTAGATTCAAGTTCATAAAACTAGACAAATTCAACAATGACCCTGGAATTTTTAAAGACTTTTTACTATATTCCAAGAGTTTGTAATGTTAGGTATTAATTTTTTTTCTGGCCATTGCATATTATTTTCATGTATTTTTCTTTCCATTGGGGTAGTTGTACTCTGTAATAATGTGTTTTGCCCCTGATGAAAGGCGAGTGTGTAGGAGGAATATATATAATGGAGGAAGATACCGATTCTCAAAATATATCAGGGTAAAATCAGGGGGATTCATTGTTCAGAATTGTACAATATGTACTCAACCATAGTAATTTTAACAAGGTATTGAACTGGTTTGTGTAACCAGAGTTTTACCTGGAGGAAAACAATCTGCAATATTAAAGGATTTGTTCACTTTTATTGTTTTGCCAGTGCGTCTAGAAGTAAATATACAAAAAAACAATAATTATTTTCATTGAATTAAACTTCAGCAAGGATTAATGGGAACATCAAGGCATTTAGCATTGAAGTTGATAAAGAAATATTACTAATTCTTTAACTTGAAGGAATAGAATAAATATATATAAACAGCATTATGCATACAGTACCTTCCAATAAAAACACGTGTACCACTTTTCTTTGTATTTCTTGTCAAATCAGATTGCTTGTCTAATGTCACATTATCCTGTGTCTGCTTTAAGGCATTTATTGTCTCTGTCTCATTCATTTTAGATTCCTAACAAAATATTCACATAAATATAGGTAGGTTAGTATGGAAATCAACTTTTACAGACAACTTTATTTACTTTGGATAAACTTCAGATAAGATTTAAAAACAAGGAAAGTCAGTGGGTGCAAAATTCTTGCATTGCACATTAGGTAAGCAAATACTTGTAAGTGGAATTGGCGAGATAAGAAGCCCAAGAAATGGAGAACCAAACTATAACCAAACTTTTAATTCGACATTCGCTGCATTTCAAAAAGTCAGCTGGCTGYWTTGTAGATTTCAGATGTTTTTATATTGCTTTTGATTTCTGATATTAACATAARTCATTATATTTGCTGAAAGTTTCACCCATTACATCGAAAATTAAAGCCATCAAATKTTTTTACACAATTAATCATTCCATAGAAGAGAYGATTTTGATKTTCAAGATTCGTGAATCGTAAACTCACCTCAGATGTGTCGTCCATCTTGCTTCTCAAGTCGAAGTAAAATATCCACCGATTCGTTTAAAATCATGAACAGGATTCAAATACTTATTTGTGTTGAATCTRTCTAAAAAGATATTTTAAAAATGCAATWTTTCYCTTAAAATCYTTATCTTGTTGTTTGAAACGTTTCAACGTTTTGGTTTTGGCGCTYTTTACCCACAAGTCATTGCGTGCTKSAAGATTACCGCTGAGAATTTATCGCAGGCGCATCGAAAAGAAGCTCAAAATATTTTGGTAAGTTTTAGATAGTGGAAAATGTCCCTCTAGTTAATAGCTAGTATTCTATCTTGTATTTAGCTTATATTATGCTATGATTTAAGTAGATATTTTAAATAAGTTAACGTTATAAGTTTGACTTAAATGGTTTGACAAAATGCATCAAACAATACAAGATTTATATCCATTTATTTTAGTAAACTTTGACGACTTGTCACAAACATTGCATTGGCTGTTCTTTTTAGGTCAACTAGCACGTTTCCAGYATGTTRCAAGCTYTGCCTTGGACAGCATTCATGGATGATAAAAACCATTTCTGGGTTCACTATGGWCTTTGTATTTTGGGACTTTTACTTGCAGTTATCTCTTTGATAACACAATTGTCTAAACCAGCTCCTTATGGCCGACATGCATCATCAGAAACCAATTGGGGACYAATGATCAACCAAAGACTTGCACATACATTATCTGACGGCCCAACTGGTGTCATTGTGTTTGCTCTAGTATTCTTTCTTTATGTTAACCAAAGAGATTATGCAAACATTTTGTTCTTTGCGATGTGGATTTGTCATTATGTTCATCGTGGGTTTATTCATCCATGGATTATGAACTATAGCAGCCCAACAACACCAATAGGAATACCTTTAGCAGGACTGTTTCCTAATCTATTGTTTTGCTTCTTAAATGCTGACTGGATCGGTGCAGCACACTACACCACCAAATACTACATGGACCCAAGATTTGTCATTGGAACTGTGCTGTTTGTCACTGGGTTTATTATCAACAGAGTTGCTGATTTTAATTTAAAAAACCTTCGTTCANAATGTTGCTGAAAAAAAACCTTACCTCTGTCAAAATGCTTATTCTATATAACAACTTAAAAAAAAACAAGTATTGAACAAACATCTAGTCTAGTCCTGATAAAGCTAAAAAAAAACAAATCCGGTAAATTTTGGTAAAATGTTGGGCAACGAAGAAAAAAAATGAAACCTTGCTCAGTCTCTGTAAACTGACCCACTGTGCAAAAAAAAAGCAAATAAATAATTATGACACAGGAAACCCATTACCACAGAAAAAAAATCATTTCCATGTTCAGAATACATCCAGTTTATTTTTTAAAAAAAAAAATTTACCAACAACAGTGGATGAAACTACAAACTAAAGGCTAAAAAAAAATCATTGATCCCATTTGTAGCTCTCCTTTCAAGGAAAATGGAAAAAAAAGTAAGTAGTTTTATAAATAATCAACTTTATGATGGCTTCCAAAAAAAAACAGTACTTTCACTTTAAACGGAGAGATTTTACAGTTGTTAAAAAAAATCGTAAATTTAATCGGCAATCAAACCTATTGCAATGTATAATTCATTTATGACACTATCTTATCGCCGAACCGATAATCTATCATAAAACTCTTTTAATATATCCCATTTCGTCTTCGTTGCCTCGCACAAGGGYTAAAAAAAACTGATCCGTTCATGTTCGGAATAATAGCTATAAATAATTAAAAAAAAAATCCTTTCTGACCATAAAGATTGTTTGGCTTATCACAAACGCTTTTTAGTATATTTGTCCTTGCTATGAAGGGGAAATTGTACTACATAAAAAAAAAATCAAAATTTTTGCTTACAGAAATATAGCTATGATAGGGAAAAAAAAGTGTGGCTCGAACCATTATCGGTAATTCTAAACAGTATGCAAAAAAAAGAATACATCTATGGAGATTGGTACCGACTCATCACTAAAGATGAAGTACTCCGCTCAGATCCAGAATACATCAGCTCGCGAATAGAACAAAAAAAAGAGACARGAAGCCAAGCAGAAGGGTTTTGTATYCCGGAACAAAAAAAACCAAAAAATACTGACCACTTCCCACGAYATGAAGACAGAGAAAAAAAATGGTACCAACTTGTAATGCCWGATCTGAATGAGACTGAGCAAAAAAAAAACGATCATGATACCATGAAGGAGTTTGAGAATTTTGTTCTTAACGAACAGAAGGACGAGCCCGTCGTGATTTTTAACGAAGTGCTCCACGCAGAAGGTGATCCGAGGTACGTCAAACTGAAACTCACTGATGACTGGAAAGAATTCCGTCCAAGATTCAAAGACTGTACCTTCCTTCACCAAAAAAAAAAATTTCCTGGGAAAGGTGCTATCCACGAGACCTTCCTGGAATCCATGACAAAAGGCGATAGGGCCAGGAATGAAAACGTCACCTGGACCTTCGATGCACATGGTCCAGTACGTAAATTGGAATCCGAGGGTGATTGGGAAAAAAAAGAAGAAGACCGTACAGATGTCTTCAAATTTCCTCAAGCATAAAAAAAACCAGCGATGGAATGGTTGGTTCGTCCACGCACTGGTCCTTGGCCATCACCTGGTCTCGTCCAGGAAGTGTTTGAATCTGGCTGCCATATTGCACCAGTGGGAAGAGGTAAACGGGACCATGAACCGGTGGACATGAAAAAAAAACTAAAAGATCCTATTCAATCGACTTCCGGAGAGCAGGATGAAAAAAAAATGGATCAAACTGAATGGAGACTATCTTTCTCTGTAGCTGAAAACAAACTTGCTCAAAGTGTAACTCCGATTCAACGACATGTCATGATTCTTCTAAAGATGATCAAGAAGTTTTATTTCCCTGATGTCGGCATATCAACTTATCTACTAAAGAATTTGATGTTTTGGGAAATCGAAAAGCAAAAAAAAAAATTTTGGAAGGAAGACAACTCAACCAAGTGCCTCCTGCATAAAAAAAAACGTCTTCAGCAGTGCCTTGAAGAAGGATCTCTTTCACATTACATACTGCCAGAAAGCAACCTCTTAGCGTACGAAGACCCTAGGAAACTTGCAGAAGCAGTACACTTGATCTTTGATGTACGCAGAACATTTTTACAAAAAAAAATTAGCATGCTTCAGAGGAGTTTCTCATTGACATATCAGTAAAAAAAATTCCACCGAAGATTGTTTTTTGAACCATTTCTCGATAAGCTTCGTGATTCTACTTTGCCTGATTGTGAAATCAAAGAAATGGTTTGCTAAAAAAAACTTGTCTTTGCAAGCAGGGCCCAAGACTGCGTTCAGAGCATGTTAAGATTGCTCCAAAGAAGTGATGCAACTGAAGACCGAATACCAGAAAAAAAACTAACACTTCACGCCTATGAATCTCTACTTGCAAGATGCCTCGCGAAGGCATGGTTGGTCCGGCACTCTGTGAATGTCAATGAGCAGAAATTCATCGAGTTTCTTAAGAATGAATGTAAAAGTTTTTCTCCGAGTGAAAAAAAAATGCAGGTAGCTCTTGCTTTTCACCAGCACGCTTGTGAAGAAAAAAAACTCGGTAACTTAGTGCCCTATACACGTGCAATGGAAAATGAAAAAAAAATGTGCAGGCTAGCTGAAGAGCGCTCTTTGGAAGAGGGAAAAAAAAAACAAAATATCATTGGATTGAACTCTAGTGACTTTAAAGAGGCTGGGAAAATTGTCAAGGAATTAATGAAAGGAGCCAAACTGGATGATGTTACTACAGAAGATTTAAACGCCAGACTTAATGATGCTTTAATGGAGAAAAAAAAACGAAACAAGTCCTCTTCGTTAACATCGGAATAAACTCATTAAAAAAAAATTCTATGAGAGTTCAAGATGACGTCGAGCTGATATTTTTAAAAAAAAGACAATAGTTCACTGGAAAAAATCGCGCTCCTCGAAGGTTAAAAAAAAAATGGAAAAAGTATGTAAATTTGATTTACACTATATTTACAAAAAAAATAAATATCGTGTAACTGTCCAAAATGATGTAAATATCGTGAAAAAAAAGATTTACGCGATATTTACATCGTTTGATTTTCATCATATTTTCATCATATTTCCATTAAATTTACAACGTTTGTAAAAACGATGTAAAAAAAAAAAAAATTTGATGTACGTGATATTTACAACATTTTTACATCAAAAAAAAAACGTTTTGGGGGAATTCTAGAGCAACTCAATTAAAATCATTCTTATAAACAGCGAAACTTTTTGTTTCAGTTACTTTTTTTATTTTAAATCATGTAAATATATGCAACAACTCGATAGCGAGGCTTTAAATTATCTCAAAAAAAAGATGGCGACCGCAATGTCACGTCCGTTCGTCTGTATTAGCAAAAAAAATTACTCGAATGTCGTTAGAAAAAGTGGATTCTTAAATTGAAAAAAAAAATTTCCAACCCAATGTGGAAAATGCCAACGAAAAGGTGAGAAAAAAAATTATTTTTGTCTTGTAACCTTACATGCTTTACTTATTTTTAAAAAAAACTGCTTTATAATTATCAGACAGTGGGATGTTTTAGCTTGAAAAAAAAAAGAAGACCAACAAAAGTAAGTTGTGTCCACATATCAGATGAAAAAAAATTAGGTGAACTGGAATACAGAATGTGATATTGAGCTATAAAAAAAAAATTTGATATTAAGCCTATGTGGTCATATGAGTTAACCATTCAAAAAAAAATATCTGATAAAGAAACATACTAATAATACCATTATCAGAAAAAAAAACTGATACTATGATCCTAGTAGTCAATCAACAAACATTACTAAAAAAAAGTTTGTAAACTGATGAATGTCCATGTTCAGACTTAAACGTAAAAAAAAATTGCAGTTTTAATTTATTTCTGGATCCTGGATGCAACTTAAAAAAAATACAAACATACCGTAGTACATTACTTCATGTGCATATGATAAAAAAAACCAAAATATAATGTGCTATGTATTTCTGAATGATCAATGGAAAAAAAAAAGATGCCATTGCATTGACATTACTGTATATGAATTTTTTAAAAAAAATCTGTGTTGTGCTACTATGATGTGCTAACAAGTCTAAACGGTGTGGAAAATGTTCTCTCAAGTCAAGTATGAAACACGGTCGGTACTTAAAAAAAAGACAGCTTTTTATTATTAGTTAAAGTCTATTGTTGTAGCAAAAAAAAAAATCATGTATCAGAACACATGCTCTACACATGATATTTGATGGTATAGGATATATACTCGAGACCTTTACATGACCATTCCTTTCATAATTTTTTTATCAGATTGAAATATTAAGGACCTTCATGTATTAGGGAAAAAAAAAAAGAATGATTTCACATARCGATACAAAAAATGCAAATAAGTTAAAAAAAAGCMAATKTATTGACTGTAATACTAATTCATGTAATCATGTAAAAAAAACTCTATTCTCTCACTTATTGCAGCTTTTTTGCTACTTTATATAATTACATCATCAACAAAACACAAACATTTCATTTTCCAAGCAGACAAAAAAAACTTCWGTCTTTGTGCCAAGCTTTGCTATAATTTCATAGCACATGCAGAACTGTACCTTGCAGCATCAAGTACAAGCTTACATGAAGATTAGCTTCAAATATTTTCCAAAAGCTTGACACGTCTTTYGGACAAAAATAAAAAAAAATCAATGGCAGGAGGGAGTAACCACCTTGGATATCTCTTGAAAAAAAACTAATTTTTGAGAAAGCCGTGCAAAGACTGGCCAACAAAAAAAAAAAACCTTAATTTTATTTGGGCTCAAAAAAGACTGTTRTATTTTAAAAAAAATGAATGACAATAAAATCCAATTATAAGATAGGAAACAATGAAAAAAAAAGTGAGAAAATAATGCGTGTATTGCATCATTACATGAGTTAAAAAAAAAGTCAATAAAATTTGCATAAGATAAACCTATTTCCATTTTAAAAAAAACTATGTGAAATCGTTCTAGTAATGTATTAAAAATATTTCTAAAAAAAATTAATTATTCACGAGGTATCCAGCCAATCACTGATTGTAAAAAAAAAAACATGCAGTAACTGGAAAACCAGATACCCCGGGGGGGACTAAAAAAAATCAAAGGGTGGGGGTCCTCGGCGGAGATTGTGAAAATGACAAAAAAAAGGGRCCTCTATTGTGRGATGATGGGCGTGGCAGTGCTGAAAAAAAAAACCTAAAAGGGACCAATCAATAACAGGTCATTTTGTTTTGGAAAAAAAATTTTATTTGTGTTTTTACACAATCATCGAACACCGTCGGCAAAAAAAAAGTTTATGACGACGTTGCCATTTTATGACTGCTTAGGGTCAAAAAAAAC